TCCGTTAACATCTGGATGTTTGGCTCTGGATTCATCCGTTACCATCTGGATGTTTGGCTCTGGATTCATCCGTTAACATCTGGATGTTTGGTTCTGAGAGGGATGGAGAGATGATGAAGGGATGATAGACGCGGTCTGGAGATGGACTGTTATATTCACTGATATTCACTGTTTTCAGATCAAATGATCATTTTTATTTTGTTTTTATGTCTATAAAAGCCCGTCCATTTCATTTCCAGCTCTGATTTATTTCCCTGTTCTGTTTTTTTCTGCTGCTCAGATCTCAGTCAGCAGAAACTTCATGTCTGAACCAGCAGTTTTTATTCTTTGTCTTCAATCCTGGGAAGTTACAGCGTTATCAGAATCTAGTTTATTGCAGCGTAGGTTTGCCTTGACTTCATGTTGATGGTTCAGACAAATTAGATATATATATACAGAATACAGACTCTACAGCTATATGCACAGACTGTGTGTTAATGTAACGCAGGAGGTCTGGAGATGCTACGTTGGTGTCGCTTGTAGGTCCTGAACAGGGAGGGAGAGAGGCGGTGTGACGGGGGTCTCTGGGCCTTGTTGATAAGGCTGGTAGCAGATAGGAAGAAACTGTTTTTGGGACATGAGGTTTTGGTCCTGTTGTATCGCAGCCTCCTGTCAGAGGGAAGTGGCATCGTTGGGGCGTAATTATGCATGTTCATATTTCTCATGAATGCGCCTCAGTCCAGGTGGACTGCAGCAGGTTTACCAGAATCATTAACTGAAGTTAAGAATGTTTGTTGGTTGGAGAAAAAGGAAGAGAGTTTTAGGACAAGAATAAGAAAATATTGTAGCATGAGGCCCAATGTGCCGTTCTGTCATGACCTCTGCTGTTGTCTATTTTGTTTTTTCTCCACACTGAGGAAAACTTCAACACTTTATAACAGATTTCTGTAGCAAAGACCTGGTGGCTCAATTTGCAGGAGGTTTCTGCTTTTCAAGTGTTTAAAAATGAAATGTTTCATTAGCCTGATAAACTGTAACAAATTTTAGATTAAATGTGTAATCTAGTCTGGCCTTGATGAATAAGACATCGGAAGGTTGTTGATGAGAACAACCCGTTGTGTTTCAAACCATGTCTGTGCCTATTGGCCAACGCTCTGACCAATGAGAGCCACTGACTGTGACGTAGGAAGGGCCACAGGAAGCTGGTGGGGGGGTGGAAACAAACAGCCTGTTGGTAAAACAGCGAATACGTCCTTCTTAAAATGACTGAGCGTAGAGCCTCTTCCTGCTTTTCAACAAAAACCTAAAGTCTAATTGTTCCAAAACTGATTCCAAAGCTGAGAACTGTTCAATAGTTGCTGCCATCTTCCTTGTTCCAGCGTCGCACAGCTTTGTCATCCCACCCTTAAAACCCCGCCCGCTCCGCATCCAGCAATTCAAAACATCTCTGCGTGGTGATTGGCCTGCCAGTTCTAGGGCTTTGACCGAGGCTAGACCACTGCAGCCAAAGATGATTCTCGCCGCTGCTGGGCGGGGCTAGTTTACTAGGCTATATGTTTAATTATTCCAGGTCATTTTTCTTGTTTTTCTCTTCCTCTGTGTTTTTGTTCTTTATTGGTAGCTCTCTAAAGCTGCACATTCTCGTAAGTTTTTATAAGTCCTGCGAAGTTTGGAAGCTGTCTAAAATGTAAACTTTATAATAAGAGTGGAAAAGAGTCAAACTTTTACTTTCTGCAAAGTTTGGAACTTTTTCCACGAACCACCTGGAAAAATTGTTGCTTCTTTAGATGTTGATGAAATGCAAAGTTTTACACAATAATAAGAACCAAGAATATCAAAAATAAGATTGATATCAATAATATATTGTAATTATAAATGATTTTTACTGAGCGTGTGTTATCTCGTGTTCATCCACTAGAGGGAGCTGTTCTTCCAGTCATAGAGAGAAAAACAGATTTCATGTCCAGCAGTTGATCATGGAGACGGTAAACGTGTCCTGGGTGGAAAAAAGAAACAATCAACAGCAGGGAGACAAAACTTCAATCCAAGATTTCTGAAACTTTTGAAGGCTTTGAGCTCTGAAGCGTTGTAGCCTGAGAACTCTTCAATATGTTGAACTGTCACTTTTATTACAGATCATTTCCCTAAAATGAGTAACGTTTGCTGCAGCCTGACTTTGTTCCTCTTTGTTCCTGCAGATCGGAATTGATGCCAAACATGTTCGGTTGCCGAGCTCAGCGACACAGGAAGAGGTGGGGAAAACCTCTCTGCCCATCCTCATCATCTGTACTAGTGGTCAGAAGTTCCTGACAGCTTCCTGTCGTCCTGCAGGTGTTGCAGAGCATCATGTCTGTAAATGAAAACCTGTCTGTGCATGGTCTGATCGTCCAGCTGCCTCTGGACTCAGTCAACAGAATCGACACAGAGCTCATCACCAACGCCGTTTCTCCGGACAAAGATGTGGACGGGTTGGTTCTGCACAGCCAGACCTTTTCTTCTTCCCTTCTGAGCTTCATCATCCTTAAACTCCTACCATAGAGTAAC